GCGCGCTCGCGCTCTCTCTCTCGCTCTCGCTCTCTCTCTCGCGCGCTCTCTCTCTCTCGCGCGCTTTCTCGCTCGCTCTTTCTCTCTCTTGCTCGCTCGCGCACTCTCTCTCTCGCTCTCTCGCTCGCTCGCGCTCTCTCTCGCTCTCGCTCTCTCTCTCGCGCGCTCTCTCTCTCGCTCTCTCACACACACACACACACACACACACACGTCTCCCTGACATGGCTGCTTCAACACTAACTGCGGTTACTGAAACCACGCCTTCTTTCTTTGCGTGAACATTTGGGCGGCATTATGCTAATATTTCCACATAGTAAGGTAGATATGTGGGGGCGTGTTAGAACGAGCCGTTTTAGGGGGGCGTGGCAGAGTCTTAACTTTGATAAAGAATATCTCTTTGGATTTGAGACTTCAGTCTTTGCAACTTCAGGGATCTTATCTATGCACAATCAGCTTGTAACACTCCAAAGAGAAAGGAAAACTTGAAATCGCATCATATGACCCCTTTAAATGCTGCAGTTGTTAGGCATCACAACATTTTAATGTAAACATAAATAAAAATTGCAGATATTAATATTTTATACTACTCTGGCTAAATAAATAAAACCTCTGAAAACTAAAAATCTGTTGTTTTAAATGCTGCAATTGCTAGGCATCACAACATTCTAATATAAAAATAAATAAAAATGGCAGATATGAATATTTTATACTACTTTGGCTAAATAAATATATAAAATAAAACCTCTGAAAACTAAAATTAGTTGTTACATTAAATGCTACAAGTGTATTTAGGTATCACAAGGCAACCTCCAAATAAATGCTACAAAGTATTTAGGCATATTCTAATAAAAAATAAATAAATTCATTAATTAAAAATAACAATATAAATAAATAAACAATGGCTGATATTAATATGTTATACTATTTTTTCAATTTATACTGTTTTGTCTTATAAATTAAAAAAACACTAAAAACTCAAATCAGTTTCGTTTAAATTCAAACATCAAAATGTAATTTAAGAATAAACAAAAAATGGCAAAATGCACTATTTTGTCTAAATAAATAAATAGTAAAACAGAATTAAAACAGTGGTTTTAAGTGCTACAAGTGAAATTAGGCTTCAAAACATCTATGGAAAAGAAATATTCATTTTGAGATTTGCTGAAGTGCTAACATTTTTACCAGTTCAGTGTTTTTAAAGGGGTCCTATTATGCTTTTTCACTTTTTCAACTTTAGTTAGTCTGTAATGTTGCTGTTTGAGCATAAAAAAGATCTGCAAAGTTACAAAGCTCAAAGTCCAATTCAAAAGGAGATATTTTATTTAACAGAAATCACTTTTCAAAAACTACAACGATGGACTACAATGCATATTTTCCGGGATTTGTGATATCACAAATATCGACGAATGGGACGAGACCTGGTTGAGCTGCACTAGAGAAGGCAACGAGTGTTATCACTATGTCGGAGACACGCTAGCTTTCCCAAGGCAGACAAACTTAGAGTGGTTACAATCATCCGGGTTTAAATCACGCTCAAATTGATTTGATTTTGACGTAGTATTTGCACTGAAGCTGGCAGGCGGCTATGGTAAGGGGCATGACATTTCCCGACCAGGTGCCGAGTGCTGCCAATCACAACACACACTGTCCCAGCTAACCAATCACAGCACATTTCGTATTTCAGAAGGTGGGCCTTCATTTGATACAGGAACTATTCGAGCCGTTCATGCCAGACTGGGGAGAGAGGTGTTGTAATAATGTAAAATATGTGAAAAATAATGTGTTTTTTTCGAACAACCTAGTATGAGAGCCTGTTCTAGTACACCCCCAAAACAAAATCAAGACTTTGTAAAAGAGCATAATAGGATCCCTTTAAATGTTATTAAGTGTTTTTAATGGTTAACTTAAAGTGAACCTTAGATAATGAATTTGAAATGTTTAAAAACATAGGGGAAATGTGCATGAATGATAAAATATACAACATCATTAGATAATGATGAATTAAAAAATATCTAATAAAGTTGGTTGGTCAAAAGTGGTTATTCATTAGGGAAGCCGTGTTACATAAGCCTTCATAGGAACGTCATGTTGCTCTGCAGTAATAAATCCGAGAATCTCTGCTTACAGGCTGGTGACTCTGGGTGAGTTTGATTAATTTCTCTGCTCTTAACACATTGTGTTATCAGTGAGGAACAGGACATCTGCTCTTAGCTGGCTTTAGAAAGGCTGGACAGTCCAGGATGTACGTAAATCTCTCAGAGTTGACGTGCAAGAGACAAATCTCCTGATCAGAGCGCTCCGAACTGCTGGGTGACATGCAGAGCTGCAGAAATAGGTGTAATTCACACCTGGAGAGAACAGTGA